TAATATTAAAAGGAGAAAGATTTAAGAAGGGAATTGGTCAGGAAATGCCTTTCTTTTAGCAGTTTGGAAGTGTCATAGTGTGTATATGTGTGTTTTGATGAAGCATTTTCATATATTGAATTTACTTTTAAGGAATGCTATCTAGGTCAGTGCCAGTGCCTCACACCTTTAATTCTAACCATTTGACAGCCAGAGTGGGAAGATAAAGAGTTACAAGCCAGTCTAGACAAAAAGATAAAGTGCCAGAGTGTGGTTCAATGGGTACGGCACTTGCCTAGGAAGCACAAAGCCTTGACTCTAAATCTCAGCACCAGAAATTGAGGGGGCCGGGAATGCTCAAGAGGCTGAAGAAAGAGGGCTGTTGGAGCCCTCGTTGAAGGCCAGCGTAGGCTCCATAGCATGAATTTAAAATATTTAAAAAGAAAGATGCTAAAATGCAGTTTTATGAAACTTGTATTTATTTTTCAAATGTAGTTGGTAATGGTGGTCTTAGTGGGTTTCTTTTCTAATAGTTTTCCCCAAAACCATTTTTCCTGGCCTCTCTGATTCTGACATTCCTATATCAGTATTAATAATCCTTTTGCTGAATATTAAAGTTTTTGCATGTCTTTATATATGTAACCTACTTTAAGAATTTCTGATGAGAACCAGAACTTACAACAACTAAATATGTAATTATATCATGGTACAGAATTACTCTTCTTGGTAGGTGTTTAGCTCAGCAGCAGAGCATATGGTGAGCATGTACTGTGCTCCGAGTTTGATCTCTAGCACCATTTTAAAAAAAATTGAAAGAGGGTAAGAAATGAATATCAAATAATGGATTCTTTTATGGATTATTTTTCACTTTATGATTTGATTTATTCAGGTGTCAGAAGATGTAAGTTTACTTACACTTGAATTTTTTTCTTATTTTCATAAAATGAGTCAGAAGTGGAGAATAACTAAGATGAAATTTCTAGACTGTTTTGAAATAAGAGGTTGTAATAGGAATCAAATTTCAATTCTGAAGATACAGAAATGTATCTTATAATGATGATTCCTATAGACAAATCAAGGTTCTTAAAGTCCATTGAAAGTATTAAAGGAATTAAAAGAATTAAAGGACCCCTGTAAAGTGTCAATAATATAACCTTGTCAGATTGACTGATTCTTGTCCCTTTTCCTTGTCCTCTTCCCATGTTTTAGTTATTGTGAATAACAATGCAATGAGTGAACATGGATACATAACGCTTCATGACCTTGCTTCAAATAATTTTAGGCATATAACCCAAGAGTAAGACAGTATATTTTATGTCATATGTATTTCATAACAGTTTTTTAACAAGACCTAATTAATATGAAGTCAATAAAACCTTTGTTTTGTTACAGAAAATGATGTTCACATTTAAGGCAATGAGATTAAAAAAAAAACTTTAACTGAATAAGCACCACCGTTACTCCCCTTTCTTGTATCCTCACCAGAACAAATTCACTTATACTTCAAATCTGCCAAATAATGTATGCAGAAGTCTGAGAGCCATGAAATGGGAAGAGAAAAATGGGGTGGAAGCCTGACAATTCTTCCTCTCTCACTGCATTTTTTTTTCCTCTTTGAAGTTAGAGAATTTTAGAGTCTTGAGTTTACCACAGAAAGTAAGACACCAACTCTGACTAATTTTTTATTTTTGTGTGTACGTTGGGGCTGGAGCTTGAATTTAGTGCCTCTTGCTCTTGTTTGCTATTTTTAGCTAATGGCAGAAGTTTTTACAGCTTTACCACTGTAACACACCTCTGTTTTCAGCTTTTGGCTGGTTAATGGGGAGAATTGTCTGCCAGGACTGGATTTGAACCATTGTCCACAGATCTCAACCTCCTGAAAAGCTAGTATTACAGGCAATTGTCACTGAATTCTCTCTGTCTCTGTCTCTCTCTGTCTCTCTGTCTCTGTCTCTTTGTATCTCTGCCTGAGGTTTGAAATCAGAACCTAGCTACTGTCCCTCAGCTTCGTGTGTGTGTGTGTGTGTGTGTGTGTGTGTGTGTGTGTGTGTGTGTGTTTGGTCAGTCATGGGCCCTGAACTCAGGGCCTGGGCATCCCCTCTGAGTTTTTTCACTCAAGGCTAATGCAGTACCACTTTGAGCCACAACACCACTTCCAGTTTTTTGGTAGTTATTTGGAGAGAAGAGTTGCATGGACTTTCTTGTTCATGCTGGCTTCGAACAGTGATTCTCAGATCTCAGCCTTCTGGGTAGCTAGGATTACAGGCATGAGCTACCAGCACCTGGCTGACCCTCAACTTTTTTTAAATCATGCCCAGCACTATACCACTTGAGCCACAGCTCCACTTCCAGCTTTTGTTATTGTTGTTTTTTGTGGTTAATTGGAGATAAGAAGATCACAGACATTTCTACGTGGGCTGGTTTTGAACTGTGGTCCTCAGATCTCAGTCTACTGAGTAGCTAGGATTGCAGGCATGATCTAGTTCCAGACATCCTTCTCTGTTCTTAAAGCCTGAAAATAAAGAATTTTAATATTGCATTTTCTTGGTAAAAATGATTTTAAATTTAATATTCACCAACAGTGCTACTTGGTTGTCATAGTAGTAGAACTATACTAGTAGATAGAACTACTTCTATCAAAAATGTCCTCTAGATTGGCCAGGTAACTATTGAGAATATATCTTAATTTTAGAGGAACATTATAAAAGTAAAATGTCCTTGTAGGCAATTAAACAAGATGTGATGAGTTTGAAAAGTGTATCATATGAAAGGAACTGGGGCTGTTTCATCTGAAAGAGAGACAGCCAAGACAGGACCTATTATCTCTGTCTTCAGACATTTGAAAGACAAGTATATATAAGAGGAACTTAGCTGGAAGATGTTTGTAAAATATGGGACGGTTAAAATATGGGACGGATTTCATTTTCCTGTACTCCTCTGAGAAAGTCTTAAGAAGAAGACAACATGCTTTCTATCTGAAAAATTATGGAAAAGGCCTTCCTAGTGGTTTCTGGAACATTTCTCTGGAACCCTTGGGCTTTAAGGAATGTTTAAAGCTACTGATCAAGATATTGCTAACAAGATTAAAAATCTAGTTATTCCAAATGTTTATTTTTTACTTTAATTATCCAGTTTATAAAAACAAGGTGCTATATAAAGATTCTAAGCAGAAAACAAACATAATTGGACTTGTACTTAAGAAGGGTCATTGTGATAAAAATACTAAATCAAAACTGAGTTACTAGAAATGAGATTTGTTTGAGACTGCTACAGTGAGATAGTCAAGAAATTATTAGAAAGTAAAGACAGCAGCAAACAAAAAGAGAAAATGGTTAGATTTAAACAACTCTATTGAAAAGTAGCATTAAATATACCTTATGGTCATTTTGATGCAATGGAAAGACAAAAGTCAGAATTATTCCTCTTATTACTTTGGAGATTGAATAACTAGTGTTGACCATGGCAGAGACAGAATGTATGGGAGGACCTGCAGGTTTAAAGAAAAAGATCTATCTAGTTTCAGAACTGGTATGTTATATGACTATATAATAGATAATGCTAAGTGAAATGAACCCCAAGATACTAACACAGGAGGGTTTTCTTTGTTGTTGTTTTTAATGTGGTGTGTGATTTTTTTGTTTCTTTTGTATGTTCTTCCCCCTATGATATATCCCCTGTTGTCACTGTACTTGATTTTGGTACCCTGCATCTTGTAAATACTTTTGTTTAATTCAGGGAGGGGTAAAGAATAACAAAACTCTGAAACAAAGACATAGGATGACCCATTGCAACAATGATACCCACAAGACATTGCAACAAGGATACCCACAAGACAGTGTATTGGAAATTAACTTTACAACTTCAGGCCGGGCAGGGAGTTTGGGGGGGGGGAGGGAGGGAGAAGAAGTGAAAGAGGTGAGGGAAGGAAAGGATAGTGGGAGAACAACAAGGGAAGGGGTAACGATGCTGGACAAGAAAGGTACTCATTGCTTTACTCATATAACTGTATCTCCTCTGTACAGCATTTTTACCATAAAGTAAATTGTTTTTTAACAAGAACTGGTATGTTAATTTACCAATTAACTCAAATCCACCACAGTACAATAGCAAGTAGTTGCAAAGGTAGATGTAGAACAGTAAGCACATTCTGTGCTGGTGAAATAGCTTTGGAAGATATTAAATATAAATATAACAAAACCACGAAAGTCCGGAGGTTGAGGGAGTCAGCTAGAAAGACAGGGGAAGTCAAATAGCTATTAAAATATGACAAAACAAAACAAACACAAAACTTGGGTGTCAGTGACTCAGACCTGTAATTCTAGTTACTCAGAGACTGAGATCTGAGGATTGTAGTTCAAAGCCAGCCCAGGAAAGAAAGGCCATGAGATTCTTATCTCCAGTTAACTACTTGGAAAAAAGCCAGAAATGGTGGTGTGACTCAAAGTTCTGGAGTACTTGCCTTAAGCAAAAGAAGCTCTGGGACAGCACCTAGGCCCAGAGTTCAAGCCCCAGAACCAACTACAACAACAAAAAGGAAAACCCTGGGTAAGATCTTGTAATTTCCTCCAGCTAAAAGAAGTATATAATTACAATGACAATGTAGACTTGAATGTAAAAAAGAGCACCAAAAACACTTGATTAAAAAAATTATTTGGCAGACTTCAAATGCAGTTGATAGGATTTTTATGATGATAAAGTGTCTGCTAAAATTCTGAAATATGTCTATAATCTAAGAATATTTTTTGCCAGTGTTGGGATTAAACTCAGGGCCTAGTGCTTGCTACTAAGATTATCTTGGTACTTGCCTGTTATATTTCAACATTTACTTGGTTTGGCTAGTTTTTTCTTCATATTTTATTTTACTTTGTTGTTTATGAATTGACTGTGTTGGCTCTGAGTCTTAACTAGTACAGACTTATTGTGTGGCTCAACAACAACAACAACAACAAAATACTAAAGTAAAAATTGTATTTCTTTAAATGTAAGATCTTATACCCACCTTATGTTCATCTTTACTTAAGGAAATGCAACTTCACCACAAGTACAAAGACCATCTTTCATGGACTACTTTGATAAGCAAGACTTCAAAAATAAAAGTCATGAAAACTGTAATCAGAACATGCATGAACCCTTTCCTATGTCCAAAAATGTTTTTCCTGATAACTGGAAAGTTCCTCAAGATGGAGACTTTGACTTTGTAAGTACATTTGAATTTTTCCATTTACATTTTTTCTTCTGTATTTTTGTCATATTGAAATAACTAGTTTTAAAATATGAACTATATGTAAAGCTATTTTATTAATATATATTAATATTAATGTATATTATTATATAATATACATTAATATTCAATATATAATATATATTAATATTCACAATAATATAAGGAAATGATGAAATTTAGTTTGTAGTTGAATGCTTTAGGATTACAGATACTTCAAATATTAAGTACTTTTCTCCTATCTATTGTGATTACTTGAGTTTTCTAGTAATGAAATAAAATATTAAAACTACTCTTAGTGAGTTTATTATTAGTTGCTAACAAATATTAGTAATATAATTTATAGGTTAGACTAAAAACATTAACTGTAGTGGCTATTTATTTTTTTAATATTGAAGAATTAGAAAAACAAATCCATATTTCTTTGGTTCTAGTAAGATTTCATTTTAAGCCATCTCCTTTACAATATATAAATTATTTAGAATACTGACATTCAAGCTTTAAATCATTCATTGACATGAATAATGCAGAGTATTTAGCATCAAAGAACTCAATCTTAGTGTAAGTCTTTATAGACTCTGGGAAATTATTTTAAATGAATGAGCTATAAATAATGAATAAATTATCATAAAGAAATGACAAAAAGAATGATTTAACTCTAGTTAGTCTTTGCTTCTAAACCCCTCCCCTAACAAAGGAAAGGAGACATAGATAGGAGAATACCTATCTATTATTATGAACCTCTAAAATTGGTGCAGTTACAGTGTTCAGGGTTGTTTTTTGTCTTAAAACTGTATTCTGTAGTGGTATTGGATCTCCTTTTGTATCCAAAAAAGGAGAGACAGAGTGAAAATACCTATCTATAATTGTGAACCTCTAAAGTCTGTGCAGCTACAGGGCTCTGGGTTAGTTCTTGTCTTAAAATTGTGTTCTGGTATGGTATTGAATCTGCTTTCATTTCCAAATGGGCAGAAAAAGCCATAGACACACAAGAAAAATGGCAAGTCAAGGAACCTCAACTCCCACCCAAAATAAACAGGCAACAGATCAGTGAAAAATCTAGAGGATAGTTCTCAAAATTCTGTACAAACACTACTGCTAAACATGCTGAATGGAAAGATTGAAAGCCTGCATATGGCTACATGTGCATGTGATGAAGCTAATCAATGATTAATAAAAGAATTCATGGAATCCACAAACAGAAAGTTGAATGAATACCAAAACCAAATATAATGGCTTACAAAAATCATTCTGTTTGTTCACCATTGCATGGTGACCCTTGGCCAGGTTCAGCTAGTTTGACAGTTACCTCACTGTGTAAAAACAGTTATTAGGAATGGATCAAGTATCTAAATGTGAGAACTAGAACTATAAAAGTTTTAGATGAAACATAGGGGATAGCTTTATGGCATGAGCTTGTCAGTCTTTCTTCTTTTTATTTTTTTGGATATGACACCCAAAGCACAGAAAACACAAGAAGAAAATAGATAAAACTAAATCAAAATATAAGACTTGTGTGGGGGCTGGGAAGGTGGCTCAGTGGTAGAGCACTTGCCTTGCATGCCTGAGGCCCTGAGTTCAATTCCTCAGCACCACATAAGCAAAATCAAAAAAGCTGGAAGTGGCGCTGTGGCTCAAGTGGTAGAGTGCTAGCCTTGAGCTGAAGAGCTGAGGGACAGTGCCCAGGCCCAGAGTTTAAGCCCCACGACCGGACAAAAAAAAAAAAAAAGACTTGTGTGTGTGAAAGGATACTGTCAACAGAGTGGAAGGCAACCATTAGGTGTGAGAAAACACTTGCAAATCATGTATATGATAAGAAGTTAGTATATAGCCTATATAATGAATAACCCAACAGGAACAGAAAACAAATCTATTTCATAAATGACTTCAATAGAAATTTCTCCAAAGAAGATAAGTAAATGGCTAATAAAAGCAAAGAAGGGACCTCAGTATAACTAATCATAAAAAGAAAGCAAATCAAAGGAACAATGATATAGTCCTCAACATCTTTTTCCTAGCTGTTATCAACATAAGGAAAATAACAAGTGTTGATGAGAATATGGAGGAACTGGAATCTTTTCTTGTGCACTGTACTAGGAATATAAAAATCTTATAAGATAACCACACTAGGTTTCTGGATATATACCAAAGGAATGAAAGCAAGGACTTGAACAGATATTTAAATACCCATGTTTATTATTCACAATAGCCAGAAAGTGGCAGCAAGCCAGATGCCCATTAAAAAATAAGTGAGTAAACAAAATGTGATATATAAATACAATTAATTACTATGCAGCCACAGAAAAGAAAGGAATTCTTCAGTGTGCTATGGCATGAACAAACCCATTGTGCTAGATAAAATGAACTAGTCACAAAAGAGAAATTATATGAGAAAGCGAGAGTAGTCAAAAATCATAGAGACAGATAGAACATGGTTCTCAGGGGATGGAAGAATGGGAAATAGAGAATTAGAGTTTGATGGCTATAGAGAGTTCTAGAGAAGATTAGTGATGATTATGTAACTTGTGAATATAATGTCACTGGATGGTATACTTGAAAATGGTTGATTTGATGATTTTGTATTTTTACAGCAAAAAATTATAGAAACATAGATCTATCTAAAAATTTATATATATGTATATATGTATCTATCTCTCTCTATATAGTGAGCCATCTTTTAGAAATTAAAATACTGAATTGGAAAAGTCAGAGGTTATTAGTGGCCTTGATAAAGGCCAGTTTGGCACCTTACTTTCAAAATTTTCACATACAACTTTTGCTATGTGGTCTTCTATCTCAGATTTATTCTAATTTTGCGTATTTATAGCTATTTCTTGTGTTTGCTTGTTTTTTTGTTGTTGTTGAGTGGTGTGCTTTATTCATTTGATTTTTGTTGTTATTGTTTTATTTTGTAGTACTAGGCTTTGTACTCAGGGTCTCACACTTCCTTGGTAATCTGCCACTAGATCTACACTTGCAGTCATTTTGTCACACACACACACACACACACACACACACACACACACACACACACACACACTAGTTTTATGCCTTTACTTGGGGGCTGGCTTCCAACCATGATCCTCCCACCTATTCCTCCTATATAACTAGGGATATGGACATAAATTGTACCAGTCCTGGCTTGTTTGATAGTCTTGATAACTTTTTGCAAGGCCATTATAAGCCCTGAGTTTCAGTCCTTGTAATCTTTACCTCCCAAGTAGTTGGGATTACAGATGTTTGTTTTTTGAAGTAGTGTCTTACTACATAGTCCAAGCTTTCCTCAAACTGATAATCCTTCTGCTCCAGCCGCCCCAGTGCTGGGATTACAGATATGAGACATACCCAGTGAGTGACTAGCTCTTATATACAAATTTTGGTAACAGTTTCAGCTTATTTTAGATACTGGAGACCTTTTATCTGAGAATTACAAAATTTATTAGAAAGTTATGTACCATGTGATTTTTTGTTTGTTTGTATGTTCCTCCCCCACAGTATAACCCCTATCCCCTATTTTCACTGTATTTGATGTCAGTGCCCTGCATCTTTTATATACACTTCTCTAATTCCGGGAGGGGAAGGGAAAAAAAACCCCAAAATGCTTTCATAGGGATACAGGTTGACCCATTGCAACAATGAGATGTACAAGACACTGTGTTGAAAATGAACTTTACAACTTTGACGGGGTGGGGGTGGGGTAGTTGTGGAGGTGGGAGGGAAGGGATGGTAGGGGAAAAACAAAGGAAGAGGCAACGATGCTCCATAGGAAATGAACCTTGTTCATGTAACTGTAACCCCTCTGTACAGTATTTTTACAATAAAAATGTACAAAAAAGAAAGGAAATATTAAGCTAATTCAACAAATGTTCTACTTTGTGTTTTAGTTGTGCTGGGCACTACTGATAAAAGTAAATTTTATACATATTGATTTAGTAAGAATAAAATATAAATTAATGACATTTTAAATTGTAATACAGACCAGTATCAGATATTTCCATGCTATTTGAGACCAGAGGGGAACTTAGTAAAAGAAGAGTAATTTATATAATTTTAATGTGTATGAAGGAACTGTATCTAATCACTGAAAGTTATGATGAAGACAGGCACACAAAGAATGACTTTTGCAGTAAAGGGTGTAGCCCAGTGGTAGTATATGCTTAGTCTGCATGAGGGAAGAAGAAACAGCAGGAAAAAGCATAAGGTACATTAAGTGACAATTCTTTGGTTGTTAATTTGGAGCAATATAGATGATAAAATGGAAAGATTGGTCTAGGTTAGATGTTAAAAGCATTGGTCTAGGTTAGATGTTAAAAGCATTAGAAGATTACAACTTCTGGATATTTGTTAATGTATATAGTAAAAAGACAATGAAGGATTTTAAATTAGAGAATGAAATGATAAAAGTATCTTAATACAATTCTTAAGAATAGAGTGTAAAATTGATACTTAGGAAGACTCTCGGTAGGCACAGGCTTCAAATAAAATAGGAAAGAAATGAAATAACACAGATACATGTAGAATACAGATGATTGTTCAGTAGCAGTTAACTTACTAATGAGTAATATATTGATAAAAGTAAAAAAAAACCTAAAAGGTAAAAGGCAAAAGTTAGGGAGGAGAATTCCTTACAGTCAATAGGAAAAAAAGTCAGGGAGAGACATTCCCTTACAGTCAGAAAGATACTTTAAAGTATCATATACCTGGGTCTGATATTTGCAGAATTTCCCCTCCCTCCCTCCTTCCTTCCTTCCCTTCCTTTCTTTCTCCCTCCCTCTTTCCTTCCTTCCTTTTTTATTTTTATTTTGTCAGTTGTGGGGCTTGAAAATCTGGGCCTGGGCACTGTCCCTCAGCTCTTAAGCTCAAGGCTTGTGCTCTACCACTTCCCATTTTCTGGTGGCTTATTGGAGATAAGAGTCTCATGGACTTTCCTGCCCAGGTTGGCTTTGAACCATGAGATCCTCAAATCAGCCTCTTGA